TGGGTCACGTGACACCTTGCTAGCTGCGGCGCGCAATCGGATATTTCTATCCAGACCGCGCGCACCTCCTATTCTAGTTCTTCAGCGAGTTCTTATTGTACATACCTAGTCATAGGTTTACCTACGGTCTAGCCCGTAACATATAGCTTTACTAACTAATTATAAATTATATATTATATCTTCTTTAATAGTATTATAGCTCTTTACTATTATAGTTAAGTCTTTTAAGAAGGAATAGAACTTAATAAAGTAATAATAATTAAATAAAGAAATAGTATAGATATTGTCGCGGGCTAGAAGCCAATTCAACCTATATTATAGGTTTGGACTGTAAGAACTCGCTAAGGAACTTCTAACTAAGGCCGCGGCGGCCGAACAAATATCAACACGCGCATGGTAAACAATGTCACGTGATCAGGACTTCGCGTCCGGGGTGTACATGACCTCGCGAGTGCCTGATAGACGGGCTCGAGCAATTTGCGGGCCCTGCCCGCTACAAATCTACTAGATTACAGCTCTATAGCTACCTGTTATTACTAATTCTTACCTAGTTAACAGGCTATCTACCCTGCCAAGTAGATCTCTTATAATATGTTGCGGGCTAGACCGTAGGAAAACCTATGACTAGGTATGTACAATAAGAACTCGCTGAAGGACTAGAATAGGGGGTTGCAGGCCTGGATAGAAATATCCGATTGCGCGTTGCAGCTAGCGAGGTGTCACGTGACCTGGGTGGGTAGTACATAGATTATTACATTGTCACGTGACCCAGAGCTGTATGGCTTCGCGAGTGCCTGCTAGGCGGCACGAGCATATTGCGGGCCTTGCTCGCAACATAATATTAGCTATTATTATCCTAAAGTATTAGTAGGATAAGGTTCTTTTCATCTATAAAAGTTAACATCTCTCTATAACATGATGTAGTATGTAGTAATTTTTATTACAGTATATTATAGTATAATAAGCTTCTGTAATTTAAGATTATTTTTATAAGTTATTACTATTCCTTAGTAAATTATAGGTAAAAAAAATTATAGACCCCTTCTATATTATTAGGATAAAGTGAAAATAATACCCCTAAAAAAGAGAGGAATATGCATAGATATGGCTAGGCTTAGCTTAATAACTTTTATTCAGCTATCATATAGTGCTTAGGGTGAATAATTAATCCTACTCTATACTAGTTTAGGTAATGATTAGTAAGTAAACAGAGACTATCTAGAGGGCTCTAGGACTGCTTAGGGAGTAATCAGGGCACACACTTTCTCTCTCTAGTCATAACTTAATCTAGCTGGCTTAGTAAGCAAAAAGCAGCGGCACTTTGGACTAAATCTGGAAATGGAAAGTTGTCCAGTTTCCGCAGAAAAACAGTTGAGTAGTAAGACTGGTATTGGGATTGTCCCAAAGAGGAAAAAAGCATGGCCAAGCATTTCAGCCTGACTGCGCCTTGGCGTCATCATAGCCCTGTCTGCATCAAGACAATAAATTGCAAAGACGCTATTTACGCCAGACTTGTTCATTCTTCTCCTTTTTTGTCACTCTACCGAAGAGACTTGACCGCCGAGATGGAGAAACGAATTCCTTCGTCCCAAAGCAGACGCCGCCAATGCCGGGAATGTCATTGTCGCCGACTAGTTGCGACTTCTCCCGCCCTGGGTGCAACAAATGCTACACTGCTGGGGTCGAGTGTCCTGGCTACGACGACAAGAAGCCGCTCAAGTGGGTCACACCGTGTGAGGTGACATCTCGACCGCGGAAGAAGACTGTTCAGCAGACTAGTACCAAGCAACATGTGTCTAGAGACAGAAGTGACAGCCAAGTGGAACCTGTGAGCTTGGGCGTCCCTCGCGATCGACTGGTCAATGAGTTTGGAGCGGTCGTGGAGGCTGCATATTATTGTAAGTTCGCTCGTCGATTTGAACAAGTAACGTTCTGATCAACAGACAATTCCTGCATTCTACCCGAGTATACTTGCCTGCTCCAGCTTGCCGAAAACCCGTTCATTACTGCCTTTCCCATGGAAAGTCTTCCACATATCCCACCCCCGATCCACTGCACGCTTGTCTCTCTAGCGCTGAGCCACCGATTTCACCGACTACTCCCCCAGAACAGCCGTAGCGATTTGCGAGAGATTGAAGCCAAGCATTACCGGCACCGAGGACAGGCCATTCGGTATCTGGGGGAGGAGATTGGCCGCCCAGACAAGTGTCGTACAGATAAAACGCTCGCTGGGGTGATGATGCTGCTATTCAGTGATGTGGGTATCAGTATCTGCTTGCACTGGACTGAAACTGACACCGACGAGCGTTTCAGTCCAGGCAATCTACTTCCCCCAATTGGCGTCATCACTTCACTGGAGTCCTGGAGATGATCATGCTCCGAGGAGGAGTGGAAAAGCTTCTTCACTCGGCTCCACACCTCAAAGCTTTGTTGCTGTATTTCATGATGTATGATCTCTCCGTGGGTGGTGAACATACGCTGACCAGGTCTAGTATCGGAGTCATCAGTAACACGACCACTCCACCTTCCGACCATATCCCCCTAGGCTCAGATATACGGTCGATCGATGTGGTCTTCCAGATGTACGGGGACGGCTTCTTCCCTCTTCTTCTATGTCCACCTGCACTTTTAGCAAATATCATCCAGATCAATCATCTCCGACTGCAGGCCTTCTCACACCCGTCCACCGAGCACAAAGGAAAGGCTCTGGCGTTGCTAGACCGAATTACGGCCTTTTCGGCGGAGCAGTGGGCCATATCTTGCGCCGCCCCCGAACAAGGAATAATCCTTGGCCACGTTTACCGATCGGCTGTGATACTGTACTGCATATTGTCTCTGCAGAGTCTCTCCGTCCTCCCGCGAATGGCACAGCTCAATAGAATGAGAGTAGCACACACAAAGGAGCTCTTCTCGTATCTGAAGGAGGCCTGCGAGGCACCTGGGATGGGAAAGTGCATGCTCTGGCCGCTCGTTGTGGCCGGAGTGTGCGCTCAGGGCGATTTGGCCATGCGACAGTTTGTCGATCGACAACTCTCGGCTATGGGGACGGACATAGGGACGCCTTTACCGCTGCTGGCAACAGTCGTTTTCAGAAACTTCTGGGAGAGTAAGAGCAGAACCTGGGATGGGTGTTTTGAGCGACCATACTGTTTTGTTGTGTAGGCTCTGAGGTTGTCTGGACGGATCGCATTGATTGGTCCAGCAGAGTATCATATCATCATGAATAGCAGCCATCTTGCCCTCATCGCGTGTCCATCGCCTCGGTGAGATGATGTAGGCATATGAGTGATCGAGATGGAGAGATAGAGTAAGACCTTAGTCACCTGCCTCTTTGGGGAATAAGGTTGATGACGATTGCTCCCAGTTCCCAAACAAATGGCCGGCCAGGTAACTGAGATGATCTCTAATATCTCTTCTAACCATCCGATCATCTCTAAAGGCCTGCGGAGGTCAAGTTAAAGATAAGATAGGCTGTGCAACTGGAATAAAGTTTCCTTTGCAGCCACCAAAGTCATTCTTCAAACTATCCTCGATCCTCAAGGCAACAGCATATCATGCATTTGCCTGATACGCCAAAGGAGAGCTAATAATGTTTGACAAGAAGACAATTATCAGTCCAAACCAATCACCCCGGATCAATTTGACCATCCCCTGATTGCGACTAAAAACAGGGTCTTGGCCGAGCATAAGCTCATTTCTGTCCCACTCATCCATGGATTGCATGAAGAACGCCACCAGGACGCGTCACTACTCACCCAGTACCCAGTCTCTGTCGGACAGTCTAGACTCCAGATTCTGGGTCTGTTTCGGGGGTTTCTCGGTTGATCCGATGGTTCGGGGTCCACTATTCCATTGACTGGTATGATTGACAATCCCTGACAGCCGGGATGGGGTATTTGGGGCAGATCCTACTGACCATTGCTTCATAGTACAGACTGCGATGGCGATCTGTCTGATAGACGCGGATACGCAATACTAGGAGGAACTGATCGATCTGACCGTCTTCACAGCAGCCGCCAGAAAGGTGTCCTCACCGCGACATCCCGGCGAACCGTTAAAACGACGATGGAACGTGGCGCTCTTCAACGTGGCTATGTGACGGTGATCATTTAGTGGATCGGAGCCCTTGACGACCATGGATGATTGGTTCCGGCAACCTATTCTAAGTTACCAATCGCGAGCAATATACCCTGCAGGCAACTCTTTTTTGGTTGAAATCCCGAGGCCTTTATATAGTCCCTCTGCTCATGAGTTCTGCTTGCCTACCACAGTAACAATAGATTCACCTTCATCATGCGTTGGAGTAGACTCCTACATCTGGCATTTGGCACGTATATCCTACTTGTGCCTCCGGACAAGTGCTGACTTGACAGCTCCCCTCGCCGCCAGCCAAATCTACTCTTTCTCTCCTGCAAGCAATGTCGTCTATAGCGTGACAGTACCTGCAAGCACAGTTTCCTCCAACTCCGGTCCGATATACTTCCAAATCCGCGCACCAACCTCGTATCAATGGGTGGCTCTTGGCGAAGGCTCGAAGATGGCAGGCTCTAACATGTTCATCATGTACGCCGCCTCTGCCAACAACATCACCCTCTCTCCCCGGTCTAGCACGGGTCACTCAGAGCCGGACTACAACTCCGATGCGCAGATCGATCTCCTAGACGGTACCGGCATCAGCAACGGGTACATGACCGCCAACGTGCGCTGCAATAGCTGCCTTCAATGGACTGGTGGCTCTCTGGATACGTCCAGCATCTCAAGTAAATGGATCTGGGCAACGAAGAAGGGCTCCGCGATCGACTCTAGCGACCTCTCGTACAACCTCGCGCAGCATGATTCCTATGGCACACAGACTGTCAACATGACACAGGCCCGGATGACCACCGTGAATGCAACAAACCCGTTCGCTGGGTACAACGCGACAGCAGCCGCACAGACAACAGGAAAAGGAGGGACCGGAACCTCCAATTCGGCATTGACAGCCCACGCAGTCATTATGAGCATTGCCTTTGTTGTGCTATTCCCGTCTTTCGCTATTTCAATCCACATCATCCCCTACGCCAAAACCGTCCCGCGCATCCACGCACCGCTGCAACTGTTCACCCTGGCTCTAGTCATCGCGGGACTCGGACTGGGAATCTACCTCGGCGTCGATACCGGTACAATGGGCAACTACCACCCGATCATCGGTCTGGTCGTCGTCGGCATGCTGCTGCTCTTCCAGCCGCTCATGGGCTTACTTCAACATATCCATTTCCGACGCACAGGTGGGAAGAGTGTCTTCGCATACATGCACCGCTGGCTGGGCCGGTCGATCATCGCCCTTGGCATCGTGAATGGCGGGTTAGGGTTCCTGCTTACCAAGAATCAAGGGGATGATGCGCCGACTGGGGCGATCATTGCATACTCAGTCGTTGCGGGTGTGCTCGGTGTGGCGTATATTATTTTCGTGGTTGTGCTTCCGTTCAGGTCGAAGGAGAGTGCTGAGGCGCAGAAGAGGGTGTCGTCGAGTGAGTCCAGTGAGGGGATTCATTTGCAGGAGAGGGCTTCGTATCAGTGATAGATGTGATGTATGAGCATGGATTTTGTTTATATTTCTGAATGATTCTGTATTTGATGGAGGGTGTTTGGCAGGACTAGCATAATCGATGTCTCCTGCTCAACATATTAGATTAAGATAAAATCAATGGTTATGAATGGCTCCATGATGCCTGATGTATCATCAGCGAGGTCTAGCGGACTATCTAAGAGGCGCTCAGGACTATACACGTAGTGAAAAATACCATGATGCGAACGAAATCATTGAGTCCACCAGACTGCTATTCACCAGCCCAATTACCGCACCTTGACTTCGACCGAGCAGCGCATTTCTTTGCGATTTCCCGCCCCTTCCGCTGACTCTCCGTGAAGTCACGACAAAGAGCGCCATTGGAACTGGGGAACCTATACTTCTGTCGGAATAACAATCGCTGTCCAATTCCTAGAAGTTGAGATGGGTCGTGATCATCAGATGGTGTATAGAATTAGTTGACAAACTATGTTCAAGGCCCATTAGATACTCAGCACACCCACAGCAAGCATACATGTAGAAAAACATGAACCATAGCTAATGCCTTCGTAACTATACACATTAAAGAATCTACTGGCCAAAAGAGGTACGCACCACCTCCTCAACAACAACACCCACAAGACCACTAGCAACAACAGCCCACGTCCACGGATTCGCCAGCTCCGACAAACCAGGCCAGAAGCTGTTCTTCTCGCGCCGCCAGGCCTGCAGCTGCGCATACTTGTGCGGATCATGCACCCTGTACCGCTCCTCCTGGCTCGCCTCATTCTGGGCATCGCCGCCAACAACACGGAGAAAGACGTAGTTCGCAATCGGACCAAGCAGGACAAGCGGGTTGAACGTGTTTGCGGCGTTGAGGACAACGAATGAGAGGTGGACGAGGGTGTCGCCCAGGTAGCTGTAGCCATTAGCTTTGATTTCCGGGTCCAGATTCCACAAGCGGGGGAATACGCACTTCGGATGCCGGACGATACTCCACACCCCATGGCGGCACAGATCATCCCGCTCCTTGCGATGCAGCTCCAGCTGCGTATCGGCCATCGCCTCCATCGCGAAGCCCGCGCTGAAGAGCCCCACGCCCACCGCGCGAAGCATGCCAGACGTCTCCGCGCCAAGCGCAACACTCGACCAACTCTCCCGGAACGGCAGCGTGAAGGGCAGCGTGATGAGAGTCAGGAACGCCGCTTCGGGGAGATACATTTTGAAGAGGGCCGAGTTCCAGAACCCGGGGTCCTTGGCCTTGAGGTCCTCGTAGCGCGGGTCGTCTCTGCCGCGGGCGAGGGAGCGTGACGCGATGCGGTAGAAGAGTCTGGTGCCCCAGGCTGTGACGCAGCTTAGCAGGACCTTTTCGGTCCAGGGGATGGCGTTCATGGCGCTGGTGAAGGTGAGGTTGTTGTGGTACATTGGTTCGCCGACGGCGCTCCACCAGGCGTTGGCGACTTGGCTTAGGGGCCAGAAGTAGTCTTTGATTTCGCCGCGGTCGGTCGCTCTGGAGATGGCGTAGGCTGCTACGGAGAAGCTGGAATGGAGCGCGAATGAGGGGAGGATGGTTGATTTGAAGATGCCGACATCGCTGGTGTTGAGTCCGAGATGGGAGCGTTGGTACGGCCATCGGTCGACGTCGACCAACGGCTTTGCGCCGGACTCCATTTTGAATATCGATGCTATTATCCCGTGTCGACTGGGTAGATTACATCTTGTAGTTGATGTTGGGATGCCGAGGCTTTTGTATGTCGATCCAGTGTTGATGTCAGGATTATGTAACGGTTCGCTTCGACTGTCTGCAAACAAGTTGTTTTGCACTACTGTGATGATATCATCGCTATAAATATAGTATAATAATTAATAGTAAATGCATTACTTACTTTAGAAACAGGCCTTGTAGTATCCATTGGAGTAATTGAGGTCAGTCTATATCTATACATGTCATAAGTATACTGACATTGCTATCAAGAAATAGAAGTAACGTAAGACAAGATCTCATGCAGACGCAGATGATCTACCCATATCAAGATCGCCCAGATGCTGATGTAGATCGGAAAGGTTTATCTGAATGGAAGGGTTATCTGAACCTTGTGTGGTTCGAAAGTTTCGCTTGATTAACGAGGACAGTTGACCCTCCCATAAGCTTAGGAATTGCAGATCCGCGGCGGTAAAACCTGCAAAACTATCTTCCTCTCGTATATATAGATCGTATTCATATAAGTCGCGGAAAGGCTTGGAGATCAGGGGGATGGCTGCAGGCTGTACCAGGCATAAGTCATGCAATTCGCACCCCTCGGCTATCTTCTCGAATGGTAACTTGTTTGTTTGGATCCGTCGGACTTTGGCCGGATCTGAAGCAAGCCTCCTGTGATCATGCGAGCCCTTATTGCGCATGAGATAAGACCTCGGATCATGTGGGTTCAGACGAGACCTTGGGTTGTCAGTTTCAGAGACCGATGACTCCGACTTGGCAGTGCTGTTATTGACTTCGGGATTCAAAGCAGCTTTGGCAGCAAGATATCTGCTCATATGGGGCGAATTTCCGGCTAGCGCATTCTTCCTCTTCTCCCGCAGCTTCGTGATCGCTTCTCTCTTGCGCTTCTCAAAATCAAGTGCCTTTTCCAGGTCGGGGTTATGGTCAGCATTCGCCAGTCGGTGCAGATTTGCAGACCACTGGTCCAGCCGTCTCGGCGCAGGCTCTGAAGCACCACTCCGGCTGATGACTGACGATTCGACCGTGCTCGTAACCTGCTCAGACGGTCCCGGACTTCTTGAAGCCACATGAGAAATGCTCCGAGGGGTCGTTGTGTCGGATGTGACCGGGGGACTTTCACGTTGTGCAAATCGATGCTGCGCTAGCTGCGACAACGGAGTCTCATCATCTTCGTTTTCCGGACGCTGCTCAACCGGCTCTTGACGAAGTGATGCTTGTGTGGTCTTCAAGAACCACGTATCCAGAGCACCGTTACCGTATCGCTCTCTGTCGCGCTGCCTTGAAGCTCTTAATCGTACGGACGAACCGGTCAATGGCGTGATTGGCGAGGTTTGCGTGACATCGGAGACCGAAGCAGAAGAACGAGACTCAATTGGGGAGCGGGACAGCCGATCCGAATGAGGTGTCGACGCACTCGCCGAAGCGGAACTTGCTAAGCCCAACGGTGATGTATCGGTCGAAGACCTGTATTCCAGTTCCTGCGCCTCAGGTGGCAGCCTTGCGGACCCTATTGGACCCCTTGACGGAGTTCTGTGGGATGAAGCGCCAGAAGGGGCATACAGTCGTGTCACTGACCATGGATTGAGACCCTCCAAATCTCTGGTTCTCGTATGACCGGACGCACTTGGACTTCCATCGCCGAATAATCGCTGTTCGTGTCGGCCATTCTTCTGGCTGCTCCTCATGTGAAAAAGCGAGCTAGCTGTGACGAAGCTTGGTGGATCGTTACCCTCAGTCACGGTTTCGATGGAACATTCAGTGGAGTCTTTACGAGCTAAGAGGAGTTCGAAGGCGTCGTTGTTTACCACCCTTTCCTTCCCTTTGGAGGCACTTTTGCGTTCCTCAGCCCCATCAGGGTTTTTACCGTAGACATCCCGAAAGAGATCTTCTGCAAGCGAAAGAACATTTTGCCGATTCTCAAATAAAACATCGTCCTTGGCCGGTTCAATATTCACGTCGTAACAGCTTTCCTTGCAACGGATTTGCAAGCAAAGGAATGGATCCGATATATTCGAGAAACGGCCGCTACCCGAAGCAGCCGCTCGTAGGTAAGACTTGTACAGTTTTGAGATCTCCTGTCCAATGCCCCGAGATGCTGAGAGAGGTCTACCGTCCACACTGAAAAACTGTCTCGCGTTGTTCACTTTTGAAAAATCTGCGCTCATGAGCCAAGTGCTCGGTTGAACGGGTGGAGTAAATACCTGATTCAGGATTTGCAAGTAGGGCGATCAGCTGAAATGAAGAGTCATTTACACTCCCAGATCCCTCATCTGACTCGTTTCCACATGGCCACTGCTTGATTATGCAAGCGGAGGTGACCTCAGTACCGGTAACTTTGCGTGCTGCGTCCATAAGCGCGGCATGCTTTCCAGGGGCGTAGACCCAGTTCGCCCTTTCGCTAGTAGCTTTAAGAACCTTCAATGAGAGCCTTATAGTGGGTTGAGCGATAGCATACGACTGTATGATTTTCTTGATATTGGCTATTGTCTTTGCGGTACTTTTCAGTACCGTTTGCCTCCGGACTGGTATCTGCTTGAAGAGATCCGTTACTCGGACCGTTGTACCAACTGGGTGCGAGGCACGTTGAGTGCTCCAATATGTCAGCACGCCCGACGCATCCTTCCGGGTAACGTACCTGATGAGCTCGCCATTTCTCCCATATTTGATGCAGGTGCCAACGGGGTCCGCTTCAACTCTAGTTGTGACCGTCACTCCTCCGCAAACTTCAGCAGCACTGGCCAACACTTCACCTCTGAAGCCTAGCGACTTTCCGCCGAGTTTGCTCAGATCCTCGACTGTTTTAATCTTGCTAGTGAAGGCGCGTCTGCAGACAAAAGGATGATCTTCCGGGGGAATTCCATGTCCATTGTCCTTTACCTGGATCACGTCCACCGTGTTCTGGGAAATTTCTATAAATACTGCAGTTGCGTGTGCATCAAGAGAGTTCTCCAGCAACTCCTTGACAATGGAGCCGGGGTCTGAGATGACAGAAGTTGAGCCAATTGCTCGAACGGTGGTCTGGGGAAGGGCCGCGATCGGCATCCTCAGCAGCGACCATGCGATACTCGAATCATCCTCTAGGTATATTAAGCTTTTTCATGTGTTGTCAATGAGAGCCACTGAGATATTGATGAACTTGATGAATATACTTCACCAAGTGTGCTTGAAGATGGTAGGGATGGATGGCCGATGGCCGTCTGTATTTCCACGCACACTGCCCTGTATCCATGTCACGTGTACCAAGCCGCTTAGTCATGCCTGCCACGTGGTCAGCATCAACAACACTCCTGAGGAATTATCTTGAAGCCATGCTCGATGACCTTGAGCATCAATCAAGATTCCTGAGATGCATAAGATTATTTAAATGGACATACCCTGATCAAAATGCTCTGTCGCTCGTTCAACATTTCGCAATTGGCCATTCCGGTCGTTTCCGCGTTGATCAGTTTTCTTGCGTACACGTCCCAGTTATTTTTTTACTATTTTGAGGAGGCACCCTTAAGGTCGCAAGAGATTTGGCGTTTGAATATCTTCGCTCTGTGCATTTGGGTATGCTATTACCGCGCATGTACTGTAGATCCTGGCCGGATACCCAAGGATTGGATGCCCTCCGATCCTGAGCAATTGGAAACGGATTGCGCAGGGGGTAGGCAGCGCTGGTGTCGTCGATGCGAGGCGTTCAAGCCACCGCGAGCGCACCATTGCAAGACATGTCAGAGGTGAGGTTTTATGACTCGAGAGTTGTTCCTGACTTACAATCTGCAGGTGCATTCCGAAAATGGACCACCACTGTCCATGGACATCGAATTGCGTTTCGCACTTTACATATCCTCATTTTATCAGGTTTCTGTTCTATGCCGTAGTAGGCATGGGCTATCTTGAGACTCTTCTCTTCGAGAGAGCTTCGATAGTCTGGGCATCGCGCCATCTCCCTAGTGTATGGAGCAGATTGTCCGCTTGCTTCCTGGTGCAAGCTAACTGCCTCTTAGTATCTTGGCCCTAGTTTGGCACAACTGGTCCATCTCTTCATTTTGTTTGTGGTGAACAGTTTGACATGGTTTGCACTATTTATTCTTCTGCTTCGGAGTCTCTGGTCCCTGGCTATCAATACCACCACTATCGAATCGTGGGAGATTGAACGACATGAGACTCTGCTACGACGAGCGCGACATTTTGGGGGGTATCTGTCCGGACCGGGGGGTATCCAGGTCCGGATCCAGAAACAGGAATTTCCGTATGATATTGGCATATGGTCGAATATCAAAGCCGGAATGGGCGGGAGTGCGAACGTTGGTCTAGCCGCGAAGACTCTTAGTAGGTGCAGTGCTGACGGCATCCCAGGTATTGAGTTGGTTCTGGCCATTTGCAGCTACTCCTGACCGGTCAACTGGTCTTGAATTTGAAGTTAACGGCTTCGAGGGTGAGTGTACTGTGCAATCTACAAGTTATACAGGACTCATCTGTTAATGCTGGGCAGACCCCAACCTTTCATGGCCGCCACCAGACCCTGATCGCATCCCATTTCCTGCAAAGCGGCAGGATCTGAGCGCCGCCATTGCAGCTGCCGATGCTTCGTATCATAGGGCTGTACATGCGCGGAATATCCAGCGGTCCAACGATGCCAGCCATTCAGAAATAGGGGGTAACATACAGCGTCGGAAACGTTTCCATGATCGGTTTGATGGAAATAAGACGAAAGAAAGAGATTCTGAAAGTGAAAACGACTCTTCCGATGATGGTGGAGCTCAGGATGGTGAGGAAGGCTGGAAGAACTCTGAAGGAGAACGCCTACGTGATTTTGGAGTTGACGAGGATGTCGAATTCTACGATGAGGAGGACATTCCTCTCGGCATTTTGATGCAAAGACGCCGACAACAAGAAACCGGGCGGTCATGATGTACTGTCGCTGATAGGGCGGTCTTAATTTCACAATAATTGACTCAAATCAGGGTCGAATCTCTGATCATGGAGAGACAGAAAATCCCCCAACATCTGCGTTTCCGGATGCTGCAGCTCCCTTGGCAACGCACTTCCTCCACCGAACAGAGCCCATTCAGCCGCACCATCGAACAACCTCAGAGGGCCCGGATTCTCATTGCTCTCTGCCATATCCGAGGGAACCATCTCGCCTGTCGGCCAAGTTTGCTCCCGAATCGATCCTGCAACCGCCGCCCCTGAAGTAAAATCCCCGTCCTCATTCTGCCGCTTCCACATGGACTCCCATTGCTTGAACTCCTCATAGTCCGACGCTACTTTACCCACCTTATCACGTTCATCAAACGACCTTAACCTCACAAGCGCCCTCTCCAACGCCTCAATCAACTCCACCTCCGATCTCGCCGACTCCCCACTCGCCGCCATCTCCCGAATCATATCTAATCCAACCCGTAACGCCTTCCGAAAATGGTCAGAGCGATCCTGAATCGAGTACGCGATTAGCACGAGCAGCGCTGCCCGGCACGAGCTGTACTCTATATACGAAGCGCGCGCGAGACCAGGACCTCTGTCATTGTCGCGGAGGGTGCTGCAGATGCAGATTGCGTCATTGGCGGCTGTTATGCAGCAGGTCACCAGTTCCTGGCGCGGCGTGAGCTTTTGAGCGGCGTCTGAGGGGGAGGGAGCTGGTGAGGTTGGGTTTGAGGGCGAGCCTCGCGAGAAGAGGAACGGGCGGCCGATGAACATGCGGAGGAGGCAGTGTTCGAGTTTGAGGTGAGTTGTTGATCGATCGACTGGGGCCCGGGCGTCGTCCTTTCGGATTGGAAGTGGGAGAGTGGACCACCATGTTTCTAGGTCATTTTTCTTGTCGACAAGATGTGAGAGCAGGAGGGGGAGGTCCTGTTTTTGGGTGGTGCGGAGGAGGGATCTGCGGTCGTTAGTACGTCTGCCCTTCACCGGTAGAATGGACGCACATTTCTTTATAGAATTCCTCCAGGTGATGCATGAGATGAATTGAAGCAATCATATATGGGGCCGTCGAGTCCTGCTCACCCAGGTCGACCGGCAGATGCGTCTCGACATCCGAGCGAAGCATCCCCAGAGGTCGTCCATGGAATATAGATATTTTCCTACTCGGTCAGCATTACAAACAAACAGAAAGCGAGAGGGAAGGGATACCTCTCCATCGCATACGCCGTCCACCAAACCCTATTTCTCGTCTCCATCATAGCCGCACTAAACGCCTCCCCGGCGCATCGCCGATGCATCCCATTCTGCATCGCCAGGCGAATCGTCAGGTTGATATACACGTACCCCAACCCCGCCGCATCAATCGGCAACGCATACGCCGCGAACAGCAGACAGGCCTGCACGCTCTCCAGCGAGGACACCTCGATGATCTCCGGCAGCAGGCGGATAGCTTCCTGGTAGAACATTGTCCCCAGCTCGTCCTCCGAGAAGCTTTGTCGGGATGAGGCAGGGGCGGACTCTGCGTCGAGGTAGGCGTACTGCGTGCCGATGGCAAAAACGGTCAGAATGATGCCGATTACTGGGGCGTCTTTGCTGGTGAGGATTCCCGGATCGGTGTATAGGGCGGTTAGTCGGCTGAGGAGCCATGGTCTGTCGACGTAGAAGTAGTGGGTTACGGCGTGTTTGAAGAAGATACTGACGAGGAACTCGGCGATGTGGCGCGGGGGGATGCAGGACATGGCGGCTGCGAGCGTTCGCGAGCTGGATCGGAGCTGTTTTGCCCGCCAGTAGTTTGATATTTGGTCCGGGGATTGAGTCTGTCCTAGTCAGTATGTATGGAGAAGTGAGGTCGAGGCATACCTGGCTTAGGGAAGCGGCCATCCTATCCTCGATCTGACGCTTGACTCGCATGGAGAAATTCCAGTAGGAGAATTCCCCGGAGAAGTCTATACCGTTAGCGGCAGCCGTCTACAGAATATAGCACACGCACGGGTAACGGTATCCTCCACCGGGTCGATTGTGCACTCCTCCTCTTCCATGGCCAACTCGGTCTCGTCAGCCTCAGGCGGCGTCTCCTTGTCAGTCCCATCGATTGACATGGCCATCTGCCGCAGACTCTTGCTATCCAGCGAGATCCCCTTGAACGTGTGTTTCAGGATACGCTCCATGTACATGGCCCGCTCTTGCAGCTCCACCAACGCATCCCGAGCGCTACCGTATCGATGTCAGCCCAGCACAAACTTTTGACTATTGACGTACCTGATATCCTGCGACAAGGAAGGATGCGATACGGGCATACCCCGCACGCGGCAAGGACGGCCAAGGTGCGAACATTTCCTGCACGGGATTCCTCCCTCGCATTTCTCTTTCCATCGGCGGCATTGATCGCAGCTGTATTGTCAGCTTGATACTTGATTCTCAAGGGGAGTTCCTACGCTCTGGCTGTGCGCTTTCTCTCATCTGTTACTTTGCGCCGGGTGCGTCGGGATGCTCCGGTACCTGACTGCGCCGTGGGGTCAAGAGGTAAGGTTGGCTGGTTTGCGCTCATTTTAGTACCTTGATAGTGCAGTGGAAGGAGAGATTAATGCGTCAATAAGTAATTGCGACTGGACGACGGTTACGGTTGATGTGGCTTAAGGGGTTGAAGCTGGCTTATCTCCAGGTGGGGAAGTGTGATGTTGATAACTTATCGGGTATGAACAGACTGGTATAGACTAAACGCAACCGCTAGACCAAAGTAGCAATGATATATATCCATTGATGCAAACGAACCGTGCTCAAGTGTAAACTACTGCTTAGTAGCAAAGAATGACCCTGTCCCCAGAATATCCCCCTCCTCTTCGCTCCCCCTCTGCGCCCTCTCGATCCTCTCCTTCGTCGTCTTGAACAGCCTCGGCATCCCCGTCTGCTCAAAGCCAATCCCCTCGCCCGCCATCCTCGCCAATCCCTCTGCCGCCAGCCAAATAACCGGCATCCCATGGCCATTCAACCCCGCCAGGATGAACTGTCCCTCGTTCTCCGGAACAGCCCCAACATGCGGGTTCGAGTCGTACGAATAGCCCATCACCCCCGTCCAGATCTGGTCGACCCCGGCCCCGGACTCCTCCCACCCGCGGAACGTCCGCTGCATGTACCCGTCGTAGAAGTCCTTCGCCACGTCGATGAGCACGCTGTCGTCGGTATTGTTGTACCACTGCTCACGGTGAGGTTTGAAGAGCGCCGAGGCGCCGCCGACGATGATGCTCCCGTCTGGGCGGGGGATGAGGTACGACAGGACATTCTCCTTGGTGCGGTTGATGTAGGAGTTTGTGAGGAGGGGGGCGGGTTTCCCTTCCGGGACGGTGATGCGGCAGCAGATGCCCTTGCAGGGGATGATGCTGTGTTTGTACTGTGGGAGGAGGGAGGAGACGTAGGCGTTGGAGGCGTGGATGACCTTGTCTGCGTGGAGGGAGCCGCGGGGAGTGTCGACTGTGAAGCCGCTGCCATTGCCATCTGCAAATGGAGTGACTGCTGTCGCGCGGGTGTGTGTTTGCAGATTGACCTTCCCTGAAGCCAGGAGTTTGGCGAGAAGGTGCATGATGAACTTGTACGGCCAGATGGTGCCGGCTGTGTAGGAGGCACAGGCCACGGCACCTTTGACGCCGCAGATCTGACGCAGGGTTAGCATCGATAGCGCGATCATGACCTCGAGCGTTCAGACATACCCCCTCTACGTTCTTTCCGGTGTAGAAGACAACATCGTCCATGTACTCGAACCCATGCCCCTTCATCCGCTCATACACCTTCCTCGCCCCCTCCGCCGCTTCCTCGTTACACCACACATCTATCGTCCTCGTGAGTGTGAAATCGCAGTCGATCTCCTCGCTTTCCACAAGTTTCTTGATCGCATTGACATGCGCAATCTCAAACTCGGCAATCTCCGCCGCCGCTTCGGGTCCAGCGCGGTCAATGTACGTGGGGATATGCCCGTACAGATCCGGGCGCAGGTGGCCTCCATTCCGACCGGTGGCGCCAGAACACGCGCCTCTTGCCTCGAGGATAGTGATGGAATTGATGCTGTGGTGATTGTGTAGTAAATGCCAGGCGGTGCTCACGCCTGCATACCCGGCGCCAATAATCACGACATCGCTGTGCCTGGGGAGATCTTCGGTAGAGCGATGGTTGTGTAGTTCATGGGGGATGTTTTGCCAGAAGCAGGCATTGGCGTTTGAAGGGAGATTGAACATTGCTTACAATCTATGCGCTTGTTCAATGGGGTACCTTGACTACTATAGAGGGGTCATATATATTCTGGCATTGTTGTGGTCTGAGTCTGACCGGAGAGTTGTAAGTATGCTGGAGGTGCTCCGGCCCAGATAAGTCCCATGCTGTTTTCCCCACTTCTCCTCTTCTTTTCTCCTCTGGTAATCCTTGATCTATTCTCTTATCTTTATTATGCTAAACTGCAATTCTCCGGTCAGGTCCGGTTTATCATCATGTGACCGTGCATCATCCGGTTCAGTTCCGGTTGGCCTTGGTGCAACTATCACCAGAAGCAAGGGCTTTGTGTAACTCGCCAGCATGGAAAGAGGGGAATGGGAGGCTTGAGATAGGGATTGGAAATGCATCGCCTCTATTGGAAGAAGATGTCAAGCTATCTACCGCACTCCAAGCCTCAAGCTTGACTATCGCCAGAGGAGCCTGAGGATAGAGATAAGACATCAGTTAAATATCGCCAACTGGCCAGCATTCACCTCATCTCCAAGGTTCTCAATTCTCTACTTCCACTTTGAAAATATGCCACCTGAAACAGAAATACCAAGAATCATGACGGATCCAGAGAAAACAACCCTCCATGACCCCGAAAAACAACTCCCCGACAATGTCGACTCCGCTGCCGAGCATCTCGGCGAAATCCACATGGTCAAACAAGGTCTCCACCAGCGACACATCCAGATGATTGCGCTGGCTGGGACCATTGGCACCGGACTGTTTCTCAGCTCTGGGCGTGCCATCGCCCGCGCTGGGCCTCTTGGAGCCCTGCTAGGGTACACGATCATCGGCCTGGCCGGCTCAACCGTTGTCTTTGCCGTCGGCGAGATGGGGGCTTTGGTTCCGCTGAACGGGGGTGTGGTACGATACGCCATGCTCTTCTTCGACCCGGCACTTGCCTTTGCAAACGGCTGGAACCAGGTGTATTCATACCTAGTCTCGATCCCCGCGGAGCTGACCGCGGCGGCAGTCATCGTCGAGTTCTGGGTGACGGTCAACAACGCGATCTGGATCACAGTGTTTGGTGTGCTGATGCTGGGGACCGCGCTGCTGTTTGTGCGCGTATATGGAGAGCTTGAGTTTGGGTTCTCAATGATCAAGATCATGCTCGTCATCGGGATCAATATCATGGCGCTGGTGATCACCTGCGGAGGCGGACCGGAAGGGAAGAGCATCGGGTTCAGATACTGGCGGGATCCCGGCCCGTTCGTGCAATACCTCGACATCTCAGGCTCCTGGGGCCAGTTCCTGGGGTTCTGGACGACGCTCAATAACGCGCTGTACTCATACTCGGGGATGGAGAACATCACCGTCGCGGCGGCGGAGACCCGGTGTCCGCGGCAGGCAATCCCCAAAGCGGCGCGACGCATCTTCGCCCGTGTGTTTCTATTCTATATCTTGTCCATCTTCATGATTGGCATGCTGGTCCCCTCCAACGACCCCAACCTGCTGAGTTCCACCGGCACAGCCTCCCAGTCGCCTTTTGTCATTGCCGCCCGCCGCGCGGGGATCCAGGTCGTCCCGTCCATCATCAACGCCGCGGTGCTGACCTCCGCCTGGTCAGCGGGAAATTCCAACATGCTCGGCGGCTCCCGCATCCTCTTCGGGATGGCCATGCACGGGCACGCGCCCAGATTCTTCACCAGAGTCAACCGGTTCGGGGCGCCGTATCTCGCCGTCAGCCTGCTCGGCCTCTTCATGGGCCTTGGCTACATGACGCTGTCCGACTCGGCCAGCAACGTTTTTACCTGGCTGCAGGATATCGTCTCCATCGCAACGCTGGTGAACTGGGTGTGTATCTGCGTCGTGTACCTGCGGTTCCTGTACGGGTGCCGCAGGCAGGGGATCGACCGGCACAGAGAGCTGCCTTGGGCGGCGCCGCTGCAGCCGTACCTGACCTGGTTCTCGCTCGGGTTGTTTACAATCTTACTGTTGACAGGGGGGTACACCACGTTTATGCGAGGGCACTGGGATACGGAGACGTTTATCTCGTCGTATTTGAACATTCCGATCATTCTGGGGTTGTATTTTGGGTATAAGGTCTGGGGAAGGACGGAGATCGTGCCTCTTGGGGAGATTCCCATCCGGCCGTTTATCCAGGCGTACAGGGAGGAGCCAGAGCCAGAACCAAAGAGGAAGACGTGGTGGAGGCGGTTGAATGTTTTATGGTCGTAGCTATGTATTTTTTCGAATCTTACTACCTTGCTACTACGAGCCTGCAACTTCCCTATGATCAGTTGTCATAGAACCAGATATCTAGATGTAAATCTCCGATGATGCTCCGATGTGGACCGGACATAGATCGACAGGATAAGCCTAAGAGTCAAGTCACATCCGGCGGATGTGATCCGGTCCTCCATCACTATCTAATCCATCGTGGAGTCCACATAAACCACCCCGACCTCTCACTCCATCACAAAAGAACCAAACCCCCAACCAAAAACACCAGGATAACCAGCGCAACCCCAATGCCCAAAAAACACATCGTCTTCGACGTCGTCGGCACCTGCGTCTCCTTCGACGCCTACTTCTCCGCCATCGCCTCCGCCATCGGCCCCAAACTCCACCCCCACAGCATCACCCCGCAGCACTTCGGCTACACCTGGATGACAGCCTCCGAGCTCGAATTCACCTTCCTCTCAATCTCCGACTCCTACCGCCCCTACAAGGACGTCATGAGCGTGCTCTTCTACCGCACCCTCTGCATGGCCGGCGTCCCGGACCCGCGCTCCGTCTTCACAGACGAGGACCGCGACGCCTGCATACGCGGCTACGCGTCCCTGCGGCTCCGTCCCGAGCTTCCGGGGGCGTTTGAGAGGTTGCGCGCCGCGGGGTTCGAGATCTGGTGCTTGACGACGGGGGATGTCGCCCGTGTACGGGGTTACTTTACCAGTGCGGGGGTGGAGATGCCGCTGGACCGGGTCCTGAGCTGTGATGGGTCGCGGGTTGCGAAGCCGGCGCTTGCGGCGTATTGGCCTGTGCTGGAGAGATTTGGGGAGGGGGAGGAGAGGTGGTTTGCGGCGGCGCATCTGTGGGATGTGTCGGCGGCTGTGAGGGCGGGGTTTCGAGGGGCGTATTGTGGTGTCTATGAGGGGGAGGGGTGTTGGGAGGTTTTTGAGAGGGAGAAGCTGGACGTCGTGGCCCGAGGGTTGGTGGAGATGGCGGAGGGGGTTATTGCTTTGTCTGGGTGAGTGAGGTTTAGTATGTTCAGATGCTGTCATCTTCTTGATTTCATCATGGGTGGGGAGAAGTATGCTTTGAGTGGAGCTGTTCACAGGACTATTCCTCTATACACTTACTTGGAACCAGCAATGAGGACTTCCTTGCTATAAAGGTCTTTATATGAGTAGTCTGACACAGGGCCAAAGACCTAGTACAAGCCGATGCGGACGTCACAGCGCGGGTTGGCGCAACCGGCCCCTGCTGCACATCTGCATATCGCAGACAGCTGATGTCAGTATATACCGTCCCGAACACAGCGCGGACGCGGACCATCTGTCCCTGCGGAAGACGACACAACGCTGCTCTTTATGGTTGCTCGATACAAGGGACACATGGTCGGTGTCCGAAGCTTTGAGAAGCTTTTCCAAGTGGGGATCACCTTCGATTCGCGCCGAAAGTGCTGAAATATCATTGATCAAGACTATGGCAACACTGCGTTACATGCAGCAGTGACATCTGGGACGGAGTCGACGGTGCCAGCATTGCTTGAGAGTGGGACCAATGAGACCAGACAGAATGGCTGTGAGCGTGTAGCATTAGATCTGGCAGTGCTGTATATGAAAGAGGGTGTATCTGACATCGTGAGGAAACACCAGGAAGGAAAGGGAAAGACGAGGTTGGATTCTGATCAGCATCTGCTCTGGCTGATAACCGCGAAGAATAAGGTATCTTAGATGATGCACATAGTGAAGACAACCGGCTAGTCATATGCAATCCCTATCAAGAGCGACGCAAGGTATATCATATTCTCAATCTGCAACCGCCAAAATCCTACTCGACATCAGATCAAATCAAATCCATGAACCAAAGGAAGAAACTCACTCATCCCGATTAAGAATCAAATACTCATCATTATCAACCCTCACCTCCTTCCCCTTCCCCTACACCCATCATATCAGCCCAACCAACCATCTCCACAGCTCCTCCAGAGACCTAACAACTTCTCACCTTGGTATAGATAATCAAATCCCCCAGTCTCACATCCATAGCTTGCCCCGCCCCGTCACCCAGGGCCTTTGTCCTGCCAACCGCCAACACAACGCCCCGCGCAGGCTTCATGGTCTTCGTCCCCTTGCTGGCAGTCCCGAAATGCGTGATCTCGTCTTCAGGCTGGATGATCACCGTGTTTTCCTGCGGACAGAGGTACTAACGTAGGCCCTTGTCAATTCGTCATACTTGGTAGGGGAGGGTGAGGTTGAGTGGCGAATCCGCAAACTCTAAGGTGCTGTTTTGCTGAACATACCGTGTGAACGTCCGTGTTCCCCATTTCGATGCGGTACTTGCCAATATCTACCTACACAAATGGAAAGCCGTACTAAACCGAGAGGATTCGATATTTCCCTGCTTGGATCTCGTCTGGCATGCTTGTATATATATAAATCAAGGCAGCTGAGTATCAAGTCTAGCCACCCACGGGTTACCGGACGCATCATCTGATTCTGTCCTCCGTGGGGTAGGCATATCTCGTTATGACGCTTCCATCTCCACTGAACCCAATCAGATGGGCTATGATTGTTTCTCCGCTCTGCGGTTATGGCCCCGTCCGGCGGTTCTAGAAGCGTGTTGTTTGATGTCCTGGACTTGATTGAGGTTGTTCAAGGTTTCGACCGCGGGTTGCCGGGAGCCGTTGATCTCATCTGCTAGGGTCAATGAGTCGAGAGGCGTATGGTGAGCTTGATACTATGAGTCAGGTACGTTGCTTTAGATCCTGTGATGTTCTACGAGGAGGGCTTCTCATTGGACTCAAACGAGGGGGGCAAGGATCTCCAAAACAGATAATAGTCCATTAATCTACCACGTTCGTCTGCTAACTATTAGAGCAATTCTGAGACTGTAGCCTGACCAATCCACCATTTCAATGTAGCTAAATGAGCCCGGAGCGCTTCGCCAGATACCAGGATCTTCCAGAGCCAAGGTGCGAACAGAAGCACCGCCTACAACTGGAGTTGAGTGCAGCCAAGAACAACCAGTCCGTTCTGAACCTCAAAGTAAGCATACCATCCGAGGGGATCCCGGTTGTCGCGATCACTTACATAGTTGTTGCCAGTGCAGCAAGCAGCCTCCGCACTGCAGGTATTGGCGATGACATTGGTGCCTGGGCTCGGTTAGCAAAGGAGAGCAAGCTGGACGCCAAACTCAGGCCACTTACATTGCAGACCGATGGAGCCGGTCAGGGCATCAGCGTCCAAACCGACGAGGTTGAGCAAGCTCAGGGCGGTGGCATCAAGGTTATCGGAGTCCTGGATTTGTTGGCAGCATTTCTTGTTGCTAGAGCTGCAGGACTGCGCGTTGATGGTCGCGAAGGACGCGGCGCCGACGAGGGCGAGGAGGAAGGTGCGGGAGAGCATGTTGCAGGTAAGTAGCTGGATTTGTTTGAAGGGATCTGTGATTGTGATTGTTGAAGGAGCAGTTTCTCATCGTGGGTGCGTCTCCTCTTTATACCATTGCTCGAGGCGGTTATGTATTGAGGTCAACCATCCTCGGAGATGGAACGGGTAGATCTCCTCATTCCCCATTGGTCTTGTTCTTGGTGAGTAAGGAGGGTGTTCATTCTCCAGTGAGAATGCTGTGAAGCCATACAGATGCACCCTTGCTGTGGTCATCGGAGACTGATGCAGTGGCACATTCTTAGGCTGTTGAAGAATGCGGAGTAGCGCCTATCGACCCCGAGACAAGCTCTGAGAAGCTTGTTAAACAGGATCTCGGGAAATCTGATGAAGCAAGACAACGAGAGCTTGGTTGCCTGACCCAAGTGGCTGGATATGTTGTGCCGGGAATGGAACAGCAAGGGGTAAGCATACCGATGAATTCGGCCTTAGCCATCGATAGTGTTATTCAACTACTACAGTTTTCTCTGCTGGAATAGCATCCATACTCTCACGCAGTCAGTCTTGGATGTATGGCTTCTTCATTGCAACTAACCTCAGCCCTGAGGATTCACTACGCATCTGCGCGGTAGGCCTGGCTCAGGCCAGGGAATTTCGAACATGCTTGATTCAAAGCTAAATCTAATCCCTCATGCTGGGAGTTGTGTAGCGGTCAAGAGATCTAGGCTTCAGGCCGCGACACCACATGAAGCCAGAGCTTGTGGCAGTCGAGCATGTCGTACACAGTGGAATGCGTCAGATGTGGCTTCAGCTTTCAGGGAATATATTCCAACCCCTAAAATGCACCATGCGCACTTAATTGTTTTCAGAGTCTGTATGGCCGCGTCGTCATCAGCGAGATGATTCTCTCTTGACCGGGAAAGGGCAACAATGAACGCGCTGCGCTAGCTGTCAATAGCCCGGGCTACACGGATTGGCTCAGTCCCAAGACCTCAGCAGTGAGGAGTTGATCACAACTATCCTGGCCAGAATATGTCGGTGTTCAGCATTAGGTCCTCCGATATTCAGGCTAGCAACATTCGCTCAGCACCACGTCAAGTTCCTGACCTTCTTGTCCATTCACTGTCTCGAGGCTATGGCATTCCTCCATTTTCCTGCAATATTTCCCAGGCAGAAAATCTGACAATGAGCCCCCCTGCTCTTCATACCGCAAGGTGAGTCTTGCAATACTGCAAACAGATTCCAGCTCAGCGATTAGTTCCGGTTCCTCAGCACGGATCTCCATCCCATCCTAAAAGGGTAGTGCTCGAAAATCATCGACTTGGTATTGACAGCAAGTGTGTCAGCTCCAGGCTGTCGAGACACAGAAAACGGATAACAACTGAGGCAAAACTGTCTGGACTTCGCATTGCGGTTGATCAAGGGAAACCATCGAGGAAAACGCAGACGAGGTAAGCGAGGACCTGATACGGTGGTTAATCTTGCGCACATCTCAGGCACTCGAAGAACAGCGTGGAGGGTAAGCATCCGCCGCTGAGCAATCGCACAAGCATCAGCGTGTGACGTGTCTAGGTTCGAAAAGTCCAACTACTCTAGGTAATGGGCCGCCTTGATTGATGGATTGAACATTACATCTCGCATCAGACTCGCAACTCGAAAGGCAGGTGCATCCCGAGGGACGACGGCAGGACTAATCGCGAAATCACCAGCACCTCTGGTAAACTGATGCTAACCTCTTCTAATTTTGAGATCTCTGCTTGTAGCATTGACACCAGGGAAATCTGAGCCAGCAGATGTATAGATTCTCTAGCTTCTGATTAATGCAGTATACACGCAATATTATGTGCACTCAATAACTTCTCCCCCACGGAACTCATCCACTTCCATTCCCCAAACAAGCACAGTTACTTAACACTTGCTCAGAGGCTCACTGTACTTGCAGTAGCTGCTAGGGCCAGAAGCCTTCTTCTTGGGCTCCTTGCTGTTGTCGCTGGTACCCTCGTACTCGACACAGATCTCCTTGACGCTGGTCGCGCAGCCGGTGATGGAAGCGGTATCGCCGTAGTTGGAGTTGATGCCGACGAGGGCCTTGCCGCTGGAAGCCTTGACGCCGCTGATCTCGACGGTGCGCTTGAACTGCTTCTTGCAGTTGCCGCAGGCGCGGTACAGCTTGCCGAAGTTCTGCACGGTGAAGTCCTGGATGATCACCTTGCCGCCGGAGTTGTGCTGGATGACCTTGTCGTCGGCGTTGCGGGCGCCACCGCCGATGATCTTGTGGGTGCCGCTGCCGCTGCCCTTCAGGGAGAGGGCGTCTGGATTCAGAGTTAGTGTGGGGTTGGGGTTGAAATCGGGAAAGGGGGAGGTACCCTCGCAGACGTCGGTCCACCAGACGTTCTGGATGGTGCAGGAGCCCTCGCAGTGGATACCCTCGATCTGGTCGGCGCCGATGATGGCGTTCTTAAGAGTGGCACCGTCTTCGAGGATGAAGACGGCGTCCTTGTCGCCGCCTTCCTTCTGGCCAGTGCACTTGACGCCACGGCCGTAGGTCTTCAGACCGCCGTCAAAGGTGCCGCTGATGGTCTTGGGAGAGGAGTAGGTGACGCTGCCCTTGGAGGACGGAATGGGGAAGGAGGCGCGCTTCTCCAGGGCCTGGTGAGCGGTGGGATCATGGGGGGTGGCAAGGGCCGAGGTAAGGAGAAGGGGAAGGAGGAGAAGAGGCTGGTACATTGTGACTGATTGAGAGTCCGAGGATTTGACTGGTCTGGAAGTTGTTTGATATGAATGGTGATGAGTGTAAAATCGGTGGTAATTGAAGCTGAATTTATATCTCTCGCAATGAATGTCAGGACAGATATATCCCGTAGAGTGAGAACAACAATCTGATGTTCTTGGTATGTCTCACTGCTACCTGGTCCTCTGCATTTAATGAAGCAAATGTCAATGTGAAACGGCGGTGATCAACCCCATTTCCGCCATTGACAGCGATTATCTTCAGTCTTGGTCCCTAACGCCAAGCTCAAGGCCTCCGTCAAGTGGGTAAGCATTTGGGAACCTAAGTCAAGGATTCAGAGACACATATTGCTAGTGATTGATGTATATTAGTCTCATCCCGTTGGAGGACTCAATCGACCCGAAAGCTTCCCATTGGTGGATCATGTGGAATTCTGACTCGTATTCTGCAGGGTCTTAGAACGAACACTCTAATTGAATTGACCAGTGACTGTGGGATGCAACCTTGGCGGGAATCACTGCTGCACACCGCTGCAGGGTAAGACATCTACCCCAGATGACTCGTGGGAAGTCGGGGAAGAATATGCAGTAGAGACTTGGATATGCAGGGCAGGAGGTGCTAGCGGTATTTCCTGGTCGACAACAGCTTTGCAGCCTCTGAACAGCAACGGGATTTCGCTCCGTCGAGGCCAGAAACCAATATCAGATTATGACAAGCTTGGCGCCCTTGTATTATCTTGGCAGTCTGATGTTGTTTCACTGAGCATTCGGACTCCGAGTCCTAGCGCAGGGGGTGTGGCGCAGCGGACCCTCCGTATACTGGGATGTATCTCTCAATTGAGCTCCTGTGGAAGAAACAGGCATAACGGCGCATATATGACTGTGCAAGTAGATAATTGACCTAACTTTATCTGGAACACCAGGCCGAACATTCGGGTCACACGAAGATATTGCTTCTATTAAGTTCAGCTTATACGGCAGAGACTTGAAGCAATCAAGCAGGTGTCTTGGCACTATATGTATGATCCATAGATACAGTCATGCATTCATACTGATGAAGGAATATCTCCGTGCCAAGCACCCCGAGGACTGCCAAGAGAGTCTTATGTTTCATCTGCCCCAGAAGAGCAAAACGCGGACTTAGCATGGTCTAGCCTGTTCTTCGACCAGAAGAAGGGAATCTCAATTTGCCGAAGAATTGCCAGAGCCGGGCTATTCGGTAGAGATGTATCCGAGTTTATGAAGAGAAAATGAGCCGGGTGCTTTCTATTGGCTATGGGGATGGTCATATTCCTGACTGCCACTTCTAGCTACTTCAAAGAGAATGCATATCTTGTATCCATATATTCTCATACCTTCGTTTGCTATCCATAATTAGCCAGAGAGCTGAATACACCGACAATTTAGAGGACATTCAGCTTCGGGAGTGATTGGTTTTGCACCAAGATATCTTGCTTGTCTTCGTCATGGGGGTATCACTTATTCCGGATATCAAGATAGCATCATGAGCCGACTCCTGTCTCTGTCCATACGATCAAGTATCTCCTTTTACTCAATTGAGCTCGGAATTGCGTCCGACAGCCGCCCTAATATAACCACCCGCATCGTGTCTCACTCGGATCGACTTGATTGGTATCTTCTCTGATGGCTGCAGTGCTCGGACGATGCCTCGTGATAGCAATATACTCGGTGAAGAAGATGTTGTCCTCGAGAGGATGAGATTATTGACAAACTGGACTACTTGTGCAGTTGCAGTCTGTCTCCTGCCTGTTGCTTATGTAGACCCATTCAAATCTGTCGTCCTTGTTCCACAATACATATGGAAAGTACGGAGTAGAAGGAGTTGATACTTGGCTGCACTTCACTGAGGGCTGACCACTGACGCTGTATACAGTTCTCTCTTGCAGTAAGTAACGAATTTGGATTCCCGTTTCTTCAACTTTTACTTTCCTGTCGCAGTAGCTTTAACGTCATCGAGAAACATGGCGTTAGTGATAGTATTAATTTAGATAGTGGTTCTAATAATAATGGAAGTTAAATTTAACTAGATGTCAATGGGTAATGAGTGAAACAGGATAACTTTCCGTTTACAGATATCAGGAGCGTAAACCCTAGAAGCATATCAATTATGAGAGAAAGAAGCATGCGAACATGTAGTATGCCTTGAATCTGGACATTCAACTTCCTATAAATGTGAGACCTAAGTACCCGATCATGACCAGTGCCAGAACAAATGACCAAGGCACGAGACAACCCAACTGCTCATTTTGCTACAAAGGCGGATGGAGGAGTTCTTCAAAGAGGCTATAATGAAAGGCACACTTCCTACCCAAGGTAAAGCTGACAATACTTTGTTAGGCTTACTTAGTTTGTAAGAGGATCCAGCTAAAGCGCACGTGTAGGCTTTTGGCTAAGGGCTCGATTCAACATATTCGTAACTATGTCGCGGTTGTGTTTTCAGGATGAGACTCAGTAATGTATCAGCTTTTGAATAGATTCATTGCCCATTTGGCCCTCCTTTACTATTTATCTAAGGCTGCAAGCTGAGAGAGTGAGCACTTGCAGGACTTATGAATTAAGGGACATGCTGACTCTTGAGTCTAATGAGTAGTAGGCATAATCTGTGCAGTCACACAAAGGTCATCGCTAAAGATGGCGGAATATGTTCAGAAATTGTGATCAACCTTTGTTGGGATTACCCCAGAAAGAGAGTGCTTCAGAAGAACTAAAATCCAGTGCTCAGGTCTCAGCGCCTGCATCCCTGAGTATCTGAGCAATGTTGATACGCCCACGATGAGTAGCCATCCTCAATGCAGTGTCATTGGTTCCGCCGTCTCGCACAGAGAGATCGACACCAATCTCAACCGCCCGTTTCACCAACTTCACTCGTCCATACGCAACTGCCTCGTGTAGAATCGTTCCCAGGTAGGTGCGTATATGAGGGTCTGCTCCGTGAGCAAGAAGAAGTTCGAAAGCATCTTCATGACCATTGGTGACAGACCACCAGAGAGGCGAAAGTCCATCAATGTCCAAGGCGTTGACGTCAACTCCCGCATCGATTACCATCTGGACGACGGTGAGATTGGGATTCCAGTTAGCCTCAAGAATGACGTGCAGAAGTGTTTCCTTGAGATCTGCCACAGTTGAAGGGTCGGCCCCCTTAGCAAGCAGGAACTGGACAATTTCAGCAAGGTTGCTGTGCCTGCCGCTGTTATAACAGGCCCAATGAAGGGGGGTTCTTCCTACTCCGTCCTTGGCCAACAAGTCAAAACCGGCATCGACAAGCATTCTAGTAATTTCGTTGAGACCTCTAGAAACAGCAAGATGTAAGGGTGTCTGGCCCCGGTAAGTTGCCACCTGATCCTGAGCACAACGTCTGGCGATGAGGTTGACGATCGCTTCGGCGTTTTTGGAAACGGCCCAGTGCAAGATGGTGTAGCCCCATCCATCCCGATACGCCAGATGCTCATCAGTCAAGAGATGAGCGAGCTTGGGGACTGCAATGAGAAGCGCTATGGTTTCGTCGGGCCACAGGTGATCCACTATCATTTGGATGACCTCAGTAGGCAGATGGAGCAGACTCGAGGCGTGCATTCTAGAGGGGGCAATCATATCGCCTGTGTGAGCATATTGCAAATTCTGTCGCTGTTCTATAGAGCAGGAGAATAGAGCAGCATGTGTGTGATAGAAGGTAAGAAGAAAGATAATGCTCTCAGAAGAAGATATATAGCACTGAAAATCACATTCTTTGTTTGCCCTTGAGAGATAGGGTCCAGTAGGATGCTTTGTGCTGTGAATTCCTTCTCATTTTCACCTTGAAATGAGCTCAAGCTAGCTTACTTTTCACTGACTCTTACATTTCTTGAGTTATGGTGAACTTATCCCTCCTCTCAGATGTTGTGTCCTCAATGAGCGCACATGATGGGAGATCTTCATTATAGGTTCCTTCAAATGAGCTCATCTCATATGTAGCTTGCTTTTCTATTCTGGCCTAAGATAAAAGAAAAGAGCAGAGGATCTACCTGCAGTGTGAATGCTAAATGAGGTCATGGTAAGGAAGACAATGATGATATGTGACACAGTCATCTCATATGCTCCAAATCCTCAAAGGGATTAGGGTCTCAAATATGTTCTTATCATTCTTTTGTTTGTAAATCTTTCAGAAATTCTACTGATGGTATTATTGAGGATCTTGCTGTCTTCTTCATCCTTGTCATGAGGACAGTTCATGGGCTTCAAGTTTATAGAATTATTGTTATCATGGTACATTTGCTGCAATATCTTTTCACTATTAGCCCTTATTACTAGAAGCACATGGACTTTCTACCATAATCTTATGATTAATCCTTGAATGCCTCTGATTTTCTCCCTTAATCCTTCTTTGAGCTTATTCAGTCTTCGTCCATCTGCTCATCCACGCTCTTAGTTAAGAAGAATCTAGGTTATCATATGCATGATGATCAAGACTTCTTCTCTTCTTATATAAGTTATGCATCAATTTTGGCTGTTTATGCATACAAAGTAGTACCTCACTTCGTCTTGGCCCTGGAAATGGGCCAATCATTTCAAGCCGAACAATAGAGTCAAGAATGTGCGTGGGCCGTCCAGATCTCGTATTCGGACTCGTGACGTTGGCATTCCCGGCTATTTAATTCATACGAGCTCTCCCACTTTTGCAAATATTCTCTTCACCAAACAGAGTCGCATCCTCAACATGAAAGCCCTCATCCCCATAGCCTCCGCCATCCTCGGCACCACCGCCGTGGGAGTCTACCTCTTCCGCCAGAACCTCAAGTCCCGAATCACAACGAACGCGCAACACGGGCATCTTCCGCGCTCAGTATCCACCAACATCACCACAGCCCCCGAGGAAGTCTTCACGGAGCAGACGGTGGCGGTCTACGACTCGGCTTCGATATCTGTGCCACGCCGACAACTCCCCGCTCTGCCGATGGAGGAACTGCTCACCCGCTTCCTGCGGCGGAATATGAGCCGCTTTGCCAGTCTCCCGCAAGCATATATCCTCCGAACGATGAGCACCGCGTCCGAGAAGCCCAGTTTCGTCCCTGCGAATATCCAGCGCCTGGATTTCAAGGAGGGGGATGTTGTCTGCGGCGCCTACCGGGTCCTTCTGCGGGCACCGGGGAAGGTAGAGTTTGAGATTAAGGCGATGGGGGCTGTGCAGGCTCGCTTGGCGATTACGCTTGCGGAGAAAGACGATCAGATGGTCTTTATGAACGAGACGTTGATGTGGAAGCCGAAGGGGGAAAAGGTGGTGATGCCGTTGGAGACTGGGGTGGGCAAGTGGTTGCATGAGGTGACGGCCTGGTGGATGGTCGATTCGGGGGTCAAGTATCTGATGGATTTGAAGAATTGATGGTTTAGGACTAATTGGAATGGATGAATCTCCTCTCTTCGACTTTGCTCTGTATTATCAGTTCTTCTTTCACCTGTATGTACTGATGCTGTTCAGCGGGAGTAGGGTATTGTGGAAATAAAGAGATGATATATTATATTATCTTGATATCCCCTCGTTCTCCACCCACATTCCGTGTAGAATATACCATCTAACTTCCAAGCTCATCCATTCAGTCGACAATGTCCTACTCACTAGGAGTACCAGAAGAAGAACCGGTCTGGACAGCGGAATCTCCCGGATGGGCCAGCTCAAGACAGCCCGATGGAACAAGCACGACTTTCTCTAGCAACTCTTCCAGCAAAATTTCCGCAACTAGACCTATATACTTGGGGTGGATTATTCAATATGCAGCATTAGGGGGGTCCACGGATCCTTAATTAGTAATCCAGTCCTAGAAGCAGATGGACAGCCTCTCTGTGAGAAATGGCTCGTCGAAAGGGCGGGTCGTTTTGGGGGCGACGAGGTAAAACATTCAGCAGGGGGCATTTAACCGGACAGGAACTATACAAACATGGTCCGGAAGGAGGTAAAAAGGCAGAAATTGTATCTTGCCAACGAGTTGTCGATATACAGGACTCAGACCTAGACGGAGCAAGTCCGTGTATCCACATGGATGAGATACAGGGAGAGCAGTGGTAGACTGGGAAGCTTGAATTGACAAGCATTTACAAAGTACGATTCCCGTTCCCATGCTGATGAGTTGAGTGGGACTATAATAGCTGTTAATGAGATGGACGAGTGCTCTTTGGATGGATTCGAACTTGGATGGACAGTCTCAGCCTAATTATTGCTCTATTTCCCCATAATCATTACATCATTTGCCGTCATGTTCGTGTGCACTACGAGCCAGTGGAATACAGCAGTAGCTGGCCATGCTCTATTCTCGAAGATGACTGATCTAGATCTCTGGAGAAAAAAGAGTATGCTGTGTCCCTGGAAGACTCTGAAGTTCATTCCAAGCCTCCAGCACAATCCAATCTCAATACTGGCAATGAAATGCATCCGGGCAGTTGGCGAGTTCTGCTCCACGTTGACCCCACAAAACAAAGCTAACAAGAGACTAAAGAAGAAACTAAGGAAGAGGAAGTAGACCCGATTGGATTCGATATCAAAGGATCCAATTTCCGCCCTGGTTCATGATCCGAGATGCTCCTCGGAACTTCTCGCTGACTGATGCCCACCAGACCGTTGGATGTCAATCAGGGAATATGCAACACCAACGGGGTGGTCTCTATCAGAATCAGGAACCCTGATCCGGAGTGGAACTGGAGCCTGGAACATCATAACATGGAACTCCAATGAAGGTGTGCAACTGCGAAGTCAAACAGTAAAGTTTGATCCATCTAAGTCTATGTAGGATTACAGACCGACGATCTTCACTTTGGAATACAAATTGCCTTGTCGTCAAATCAACTCGAGTCTGAACTATTGATATTCCGCGTCTGATCAGATATTGATGGGTGCAGTCGTCATTGACTCTCGTTCGCCGACTTGCCAACTTATATCGACCTCTTAATGTCGCGAGCGGTTGAAAAGGCTTATGATAATGCTCACGCCAGCCTTTTTGATTCCCAGCGTTTCGTCCCAGCATTTTTCGTTCTGGAGTTCCCCGGATTACTGTCTCTCATTCCATTGCTGATACTCTCATTATCTTTCATTAAGTACATCCCTAACAGCCAGCAGTAGGACAGCCTTCTCTGAGCCTCCTCGTGCCCATCGACCACCCGCCTACAGGGAAAGCCAGCATGGGAAGAACCATGCTTGTCTGCCTCGTAGGCAGTGTCACGGCCTTTTCCGTTCTCATCGATCTTGCTATCTCCATTACTTCCTACATGCTTCACGAGAGCACATCAAACGAACCAAATCCTACCAAGTGGAGTAGCGTTTCTCTCACGTCCCTCAACTTCATACTTGTTTGTCTTCTATCCTACCGATTATTCCTTGAGAGCGAGACTCGAGCGACAGAATGGTTCCTGTGGAAATTCCGAGCTCGAGCTCTCTTCAGCCTCATCATCTTCATCAATCTTGCCATCATCAGCGGCGAGAGGGCGAAAACTCTCTTCAGCAGTCCCAAGAGTTCATCCAGCAGCGTGTGGTTCTCTCTCAACATAGCCCACGGCGTTGTATGGACGATTTCCGCGTACTGTCAAGGATTTCTCTGTGCCCTCTCGTTCGTCCTCTCCAATATCCTCGACAACCAATCCCGTCGAGTGTCCAATCCAACTATTGATATCGGCCGCACCGCCGAATCAGCATTTTCGACGACCAACCTCATCTCACCACTGAGTCCACAGTGGAGAAACTCCATCCTATCACCCGTCCCCTCGTTCCTCGACCCATTACCGTCCCCCCAGAGCGAGATGAGCGTCAGAACAAGCATCCTCCGCTCCCCACTCCCAAACTACTACACCTGCAAGGAACCCGAGCCGCCCTTCCTGCAGACACGCAGCAGGGAAAGGGAAAAGTCGCTCCGATCGACTCCGTCCATCGACACCGTCATGCGATGCCCTGATTCCGTCGTCCCGCCGACTCCCATCCCGCCCCCTCGCGAGTCCCTCCTCGATGCCATCGAGAAGAACATCCACCCGCTCTTCCGACCTAGCACGCCGCATCTTCCTCCGATGCCAAATATGACGACTTCGATTACTGCGCCCTTGGAAAGTCATGGCCAAGGGACAGGGTCGACCGTGTCCCTGCCGGGCCCGAGGGAAGTCGTTGACACGAAGCTATCGCCTGAGACGGCACAGCCCCAGCTGCCGTTTTATGTCCTCAATGCGACTGCGAGGAATAGCCTGATACGATACGAGGATAGTAAACTTTAGTACCCCAGGAATGATCCTCATCTCATATCAACATATGAATGTTGCGATGGCCCCGCTGTCATTTCTTTTCTGGAGATGCGTCATGTGCTCAACAAAAGTATCTGTGGTTTTGCACAATATAGTCCTTCTCTTGAGTACAAAAGTAGTCACAGCCATTAATACCTACCAATGATTCATTTTTATATGATGTGATATGACGCCAGAAATGCCAACCAACTCACGACCGATATTAATCGACATCCTCCATAAACAGACAGAAACCACTGATCAGATAAATCTACTGCCCCAAACAGCGACCCAGCCCACACATCTCGAACCAAAACACCCTCCCATCATCCATAATCGTATCGACCCCCCACTCCTCCAGCACCTTCTCCCCATCAACCCACAAACGGAGATCCCCCGTCCCATCAACCCCCCACTTCACCAGAACAGACACCGTATACCATCTCCCCACCTTCACAGTCCCCAGGCCGAAAGTGCTTATCTCGGGCTCACAGGGCGTCCCCGTGACAAGATTAGCGTAGAGCTGGTCCCCCTGCACCCAGAGCAGGCCTGGGGGGCGGTAGACGTCGCAGTCCGCGTCGCTGAGATCCGCGGCGAACCGCGCGAGATTGTAATGCCCGCGCAGAGCAAACTGCCATTCTTCCTGGAGGGAGAAGGCGAAGCTGTGGAAGGTTGTGTCGCCGCGGTGGTAGGTGTTGTGGTTGACGGGTTGAGCTTTGTGGGTGTCTTTATGGGCGAGCAGGTGGGTTATGTTGAGGGATGAGGGGCCTGTGGTGATGATGCTGGGGGGTTTCTGGACTGCGCTGGTGGGTGGAGAGGGGGGGGGTTGAGTGGCATGTGTAGTGGTAGTGATGCTGAAGAGTAGAAATGCTATATAGTATTTTGAGAGCATTATGTTGATAACCTAGTTCTAGAGGAGTGGATTTCCACCCTTTTCGGATTTCTCCATGTTGTTGATCTGGCCTCTTGTCTACGGGCTTGTGTCTTAGTCGGTGACTCGGCGCGATGGAAGAGCTCTTGGCTCTCTTGGGCGCAACACGTGGGGGAAATGTCTTATCCTCTGCATATAGAATTGGTCTGGTAGATTATGCAAGACGTGATTCATCTTCTGATGTTTTGCAGCAATTGGAACGGCCGAGGCTACCGCCAAGACAAATACGAGGTGAGGCTGTATAGCCTCGAATCTCGATCAGGCTGATTTTCCACGCACCCGATGAACTCATATTATATTCACGATTCCAGTCCAGCTGAGGCACCAGATCATATCAACAAAACTGACCCGTGTCAGAAATGAGCGTCAGAGCCGTCGCAGAACAAACAGCGGAAATTCTCCTCATCACCCTCCTTGTCATCGGCTTGTGGTTCTTCTGGGGAGTGTCCCTGATCTGCAACGGCCTCTGGTATGCGCTTCATCCGACAGAGGTCGTGAAGAGGATCCGTACGAATGGCGGTCGTCCCCCAGTCGCTCTTTCACGCTCTCGCCGCTCTCTGAGCCTTCCTCTGCGGCCGCAGCAGGAGAATGTTCAGAACAGATCTCACGACCAGGTCCAGTCCTTATTTTTCACGAGGCTGGTCCCTGAAATCCGCTGCATGATATATCGAGAGATTCTCGTAGCTTCAAATGCGGTTCATATCCGGCGGACCCATCGGAGACTGTGCAGCATGCCGTGCAGGAATCTAGATCGACAGGGGGATACGCAAAGTGATACTCACAGGTCCTGTGTGCACCCTTTAGCCGACGATGGCACGGTGCTGAGGCGATTGCCCGGCGAGGAACCCCATCAGGACCAGATACTGCCGCTGCTTTGCAGCTGTCGCAGAGTGTAAGCATTCTTCAGTCCAATACCTGGCTAGAAATGGCAGCGGTCTCACTGGCTATACAGATACACAGAGGCGATTGGTCTCCTCTACAAAGCTAATAGATTCCACTTCGACAACCCGCTTACGGTTCAGGCATTACCACTGTGTATGGTCTCTCGTCGACTCGCATCAATACGATATATACGGCTTGATATCCGCGCTTTTGAAAACCGGTCCATCGTCGCCGAGGTTATCTCCTCCTGGGAGCAGGCGTGCGCTGTCCTTGCAGGTATCAATGCGCTGGAGGAACTGGTCGTCACCTTGCGCTCACTCGACAAGGGGACATTCTATGAGCCCCTTCCTCTATGGACTCTCCTGGAGCCTTTGACAAAGATCACTGCCTCTAGGTTTGTAGTGGAGGTACCCCCTCATGATGACCCAGAGAATACTGCTGGCGGGCTGGGTGATGTACCATTCACACTAGAAACGAGGGCCTTCCTGTATGAGAGGATCCATCAATGCTCCTGGTGGGGATCAGAGACACTCAGGTGGTTTCCTCCACTGTGACAGTGACAGAGTATAAGAATATGACGACTAGTACTTATTCAGGAAGAAATCTAGACATACAATTTTGTATCGGCAATATCAACTTTGATGACTTGAATGATGGCATCCCATGCGGGGTAAGCCGAGATTCTTTAGTTGAATGAGGGGATACAGCAAGCCTTGGATACTTGCTTACAGTTGTGTAAATCTGACCATTTCAACGGCACAAAATCTGCAGTGGCCATGAACAAATGGTATACATCCTCATTTTCTCCAAGTCTCTTCACTATCCCTCAGTATACCGCCATGGACTGGACAGTCATTCACCCCTCTGTTGACAGCTTGACATTCCCCTCCACAGTGGGTCCAAAAAATACACTCAACAGCGCCCGGATCCCGCGGTTTCCACCAAGACAACCGACATTCCGCTGCGCAAAATATTCTCCTCGGATAATTATATATAATCCACCAAAGGATGTCATTACACGAAAGAATCTGTTGTTTGATTACCCACCATGACCTATACTGGCCATTGTAACTGCGAGAGCATCCGCATCACTCTCCCGGAGAAGCCCGCCAATTCAATGATATGCCAATGGTATCTGCTCCATTTCCCCCCACATCTTCCTCCAAAGACCGCTAACAAACAACAGCTCTAATTGCAAAAGATCCGGCGGAGGCGGTACGTGATAGCAAGCACTCTCTTGGATAGCAAGTAACACCGCCAGTCTGCTCAATCAACTACCTCGTCAACGAGGACGATATCAAACTCGACGATCCCTCGGGTGTGCTCAAGGTCTACAACGATCCCAGATCTCTCTCGGGGAATGTTGCGCGCGTACAACTGGCCCTTCCGTCCACTAGCCCCCAATACTAATCATGCAATCAGAGACACTTCTGCTCTAACTGTGGAAGGCATGTACCGCCGCAAACCGGTTGACGGGATGTACTGACCGATCAGTCCGATTATGACCAAGACTGCCAAAGTCCCTGGGAAGGCGTTTCTCAAGGCAGCGCTGTTTGGGGAGGTTTCGCCTCCGGGTAGAGTTGTGTTTAACGAGCAGCAGCCAGGGTGGTTGAAGATTTATGATCAGGATGGGAAGCTAACACAATAAACTGCTGGGGAGATATATATCGAGAGGGAAGGTGGTCGACCAGTGGTTGGTATCAGTCAACAACGCCAGCGATTACTTCTTGCGTTTCCTTTGTGTATAAATTATAGACATGGATTTAGGTTGTTTATATGGATGGAATAAACAAGAGCCTGACTTGGTCATCCTCTTGGATTTTCCAATACTTTGGATCATGATGTCAGATTCTTGCAAGCTTAGTAACAAATCCTCGATGGTCTAACGGTCATGATTTCCGCTTGTCACTCCCAGAGAACGAGCGCGGGAGACCAGGGTTCGACTCCCTGTCGGGGAGATTTCTTTTTTCTCTTTCACCTTTTCAACTAGTTTAACTATCCAATATTCATTTCATCGCGTCACTACGGAGTTTTATCTTCTCGATTTTATTCTTTTTAGCTCATGTACTAGTATCCCCTATGTCCAAATTTACAACAACAGCACCAAGCAGTGTCCATGCCATGGGCCGTTTGCGAAGACGGAACGTATTCCGCGACCGTGATGCATTATCGCAAGCAACCACGCCGAGATGGAACAGAAGCAGCGGGATGCAGAGATTTGCATGGCAAATGTAGTATCTGTTTTCGAATAGAGTAATAGTGACCATAATGGCATTTCCTCGCGCAGTGAAAAGGCTTATGGATCACCGCAGCTTCGGAGAATTTGTTCATGATATCATCTAGGGCAATTCCCATGTGTGTCTGCAAGGAGGATATCGTGGCTTGATCTGTCAGTTGTAGGGCGCAATACTCGGCATTCATTGGCAGCATTCCTGCAATTAAGTCGTGGACACGACTGTAGAATACACCGCATATTGCACAAATCCTGATAATCAGAGAAACACTTGATGGTCTGCCACTACAGGGTAATTGTGGGACTAAACTGGGTCGGCGATTCATTGACGTGCCTTATTGCCTGAACCGGCCGGATTCGCCGACCCACCAACAGTGCTGTAGTACTTAGCTAGCTCTCTACCCCAGACACAATCCACCACTCATCCTCCTCCCCCATCGCATCATCCAAGCCCGCAATGACAACATCGGATGAGCCTCCTCATCCTTCGTGATAGTCATGGCTGACCCGTCTGCCCAGCATGCGCCTGCCGCTGAGCCCTCCGCCTCGACCTCCTCCGTTTCCGGCATTGACCAACCCAGTTTACGGTCGCCGACCGAGAGTGACTCCTCGCTACCGATCGGCCGTGCCATCGACGAGAGAAATGGATTCGAACTCCAACAGATTCCGACTCAGGAGGACAATGAGATGGATGATCTCTCCTCGGGATCGATATCCTCAGGGGAATGCCGAGTCACTACCCGTCGCACGGTATCCCGGAGCAGCTCCAGTCGGCAGCCACGCAAGGGGGTCCTGGGGTCCATCCAACGATTCTGGGCAAATAACGTTTCTTTGACGGTGCCACAGAAGAGCAATCGCGACCATTTTGGTACGTACGCTTTATTTCTGATTTATGGTGGAATTCATTTTCAAGGTCTATTCTCCGTCTATGGAGCCTGAGACTCCGAGATTAGAGAAATTGGTATCTAAGCAAGCGCGAAAAAGCAATTCGAGAGCTAACATCATCTAGCGTTGGAACGAACATTCTTGGCGTACATCCGTACATCGATCACCGTTGCCATGCAGGGTGTGTTGGTCGCTCAGCTGTTCCGTCTGCAGCGCTCGACCGCTGTCCATGCTCCTCTGGGTTACTTCAGAGTTGGGATACCTCTTGCGGTGACCTGTCATGTGGTCGCCATTCTGGTTGCTTTGATGGGAGCGCATCGGTTTTGGAGACAGCAGAGCGCTGTAGCACATGGGAAGGTCCATGCAGGGGGGTGGGAGCTAAATGGAATAGGGATTTTTATTGGTCTGGTAGGCATGCTTCTTCTACCTGGGCCGAAAGTTGGCTAATGGATACAGGTAAATCTGGTAATTTTCATACTCTCGATCGTTATTGCTGCCGAAATATCGAACGAGCATAGCTGAGGACTATATTTGTCGCCTTGTTCGATTTCACTGGGGTTGAAAGCTCAACACAAGTATTCGACACATTGAAACCAAGAACTGATCTTCTCGTTCTATCTCCGTTCAATTTCGTTTGAATTGGATGATGACGAGAAGGATGTCAGTTACGCCACACCAAAACCGGCTTCAATGTCTTTTCCTCTTTCATATCCTTGCATATCCTCTTGCTGGATATAAAGTGATCGCTCCTCAAGAGGGATATTTCCCAGCCGATGTCGTTCAATCAGGAAAGAAAACATCATGCAGTACGACGTCGTCAGTATCAGCTTTGTTCCTGACAGAAAACAGAACAAAACTGTGCTGAATCGCAATATCCCATGGCACAACCCACATACTCCTTTCCGGGGTTACTGCGGGAAGACCTTCGATTCCACATCAGGTCCCTGGAGGCGGAGCCCTACAGCTGCGGCTTTCCCAGAGTTCGAAGGGACGCCATCAGCATTTCCATCACAGGCGGAATCCCCGTACATTTCAGGGAGACTGCACCCTATTCGGCGGGCCAATCTTCTGAATCTGCCCGATAACATTGCCAGTCAACTGGATGGTATGCGTCGCCCCCAGCTTCCGCGCAATCTCCAACCGCTGCGGAGTCCTATCGATGACGATGATTTTCTTCGCTCGGCGGACCTTGGACCCCATGATCGCGCTCAGCGGGCGTTACCTCTGAAACCAGTGATCGTGGAGCCAGGCTGCACAGTCAGTGTGTTCATCACTACCCGCGCCGGTCTGCATCCCAGTGCGCAAAACATCGTGAAGTCGTATTGCTAGGCACTTTGATGAGACTGGTGCGCTGACGATTTGCGCGCTGGACTAACGAACCCTGCCCGAGACAGTTCTCGTGAAGCTTCTGGCCGTCTTTTGTGGCAAGACTGGCGGACGGAGCACCATGCCTGATCCTGTTTAGGTGCGAACCATCCATCTGCTGGCAGTATGGGAGATACCTACATGGCCTGGGATGCAGGGATACTTGCTGGAAGATCTCCTGCTATTAGGAGAGGCCTGTATGGCAGATGCCTGTGGCGCACATCTCGAAGCGCCTCGTCGGGTCGAAGGGAGGGGGGG